TCAACTGTTCATTATTACGGATTTTGATCTGCTAGCAGGTTGTAATTGTTATGAGTCCCCAAAAGCTGTATATATTTTCGAAATAAATAGCTGTGTTGTATATTAATCCTTCAAAACACATTGAGAGACCCCTTTAGTCATGTTGCTACAAATCTGCTTCACATAAACTCTTTATCTTGTACCTTATGTACAAAAAGATGTGTGTGGTCATGAGTGTGTCCAATTTTTAACTCTGTAAAGATATAGACATATCTGGTGTGGACCTCAATTTGTTCTACACAGGCTGTAAGATGGGAAAACATTTCAAAATTCCACTTTGAGGTTTATCAATCTAACCTTTCCCATGTTCTTGCTGACATATGATTTTCATCGAGTCCAAGATGGACGAGATGATAATTAATAACGGTGACCAGCCATTTTGTAATCGGGTTTTAGTCAGTTGTTACGAAAATTGCAGAAAAGACAGTACACATTCTACTGCTTTCAAATGCAGGGAGCTCACTATTTGATTAAAAACTTGGCCAAACTTCTCAAAATCATTGACTAGCTATAGTTTTCTTGCTGCAATAAAAGCACAAGTTTTTCCAAACCTTCTCTGCATTCACAAGCTTGCAGTTCGAAAACTTGAATTTTAACAGCAAAAGTAAGGTTCTCTTTGCAAACCTCACACTGCACATGCTGAAACTGTTAATCTAAAACAATACCAAACACGAGCAGCAAGCAACAACCAAAACCAAGCCACTAAACGAAATGTAGTTCATTTCCATTAATGCCCGAAAATAATTCTAACAGCAGATGAAGGCACAAAGCATCCCAAACAACTAAAGCAACACCCATAAAACAATAATCACTCCATCTCGAGTATTGACCAAAACCAATACAAAAGACCAAATTCTCCCCCAACGAAAAACTTCAACCGTGAGTATTAACCGCCTCCCAAACCAAATTCTTCGGGACAGGCCTCGCCAAATCCCTAGCCTGCAAAGCAGCATTCCTCAACGTCCTAACCGTCATCACATTCGCCTCCCAAAAAGAGGCACAGTTATACGGCAAACCATACTTCTTGCAAAGCTCCTTCACGAAAGGCGAAACTCTCCTTAGCTGGCATCTGGGCAGCCTCGGGAATAAATGGTGCTCGATTTGAAACTGAAGCCCCCCATGAAACCAGTCCATCCAAGACGGGCAGCTTATGTTGAGGGTTCCGCTCGTCTGCTTCTCGAACCAGTCGTTTCCCCTGGGTGGGCCCACGTACACGCTTGTCGAGAAATGGTTGAGGCAGAATTGTACGTGCTGGATGCCGGTGACTGAGAAGCTGGACACCACGAAAAGGGCCCGTTCAGGCCAGTTGGGCAGACGGGAGACGAGCAGTGGGTACCAAATCCAGAACACGGCAAGCCCGATAAGCTCTTGGGTTCGGTGGGCTACTTTTCGTTTGGAGAGCAATAGGATGAATGATTGGGCGAAGAGGTTTATCCGGGCGAAACACATGACGGGGTAAAAGGTCCAGTGCTGGCTGGCTACTAGGAATCGAGCGAATGAGTCGAATTTCATGGTGCGTTCGTAGAATTTGGAGGCGATGGAGGAGAAGAGCTTCGGGGAGACTGCGAAGAAGGGCATGTGTTGGAGGTCGGGGTCGTAATCGAGGCTGTTGCAGGCGATGTGGTGGGCGTTGTGGTTCCATTTCCACCAGGCGATGCTGATTCCGGCGAGGCAGTTGCCTGAGAGGATCTGGGCGACCCGATTGAGTTTTCGGGTCGGCATTACCTGGTAGTGGCCCGAGTCGTGCCCGATCCAGCCGCTCTGGATCCAGAGGAAGCCCATCAGGCCGCCGCAGAGGAGGTGGACGAGGACGCCCTCGCAGCAGAGGATGCCGTAAAGGGCGGCGGCGAAGAGCGCCGCCATGAGGCAGAGGGTGAGGAGGACGCCGTGGCCCTTGCGGTCGAAGAGGCCCATTCGGGAGAACTCGGCGGCCAGCCTGCGGTAGTCGCGGGAGACCTCGGACACGGCGTGGTCGCGGAGGTGGAGGCCGGTGGAGAGGCGGTCGAGGTGGCGCCAGGCGGAGGAGGGGTGGTAGGCGACGAAGGCGTCGGTGGCGTCCTGGCCGGCGAGGTTGAGGAGGGGGAGCTGGCCGCCGGGGTGGATGTGGGCCCACTGGGAGACGTCGTAGACCTTGCCGTGGATCGAGATCCAGAGGTCGCCGGGGGTGTTGTGGGCCCGGAGCTCTTCGGATGTAATGTACATCTTGGGATCCGCCATGGCTGTGCGGTGGATTTTGAGATTTGGGAGGGCAGAAGTTTTGTGTGAGCGAGTGAATTTTATCAATGGTTTGTCATTTTTTTTATTATTTTTTTGAAATGTTTTTTTAATTATTTTTATTAAAGAGAAAATCATTTGAGTGACCTGTAGTACGGGGAGGACGTTATTTATTAAAGATTCTGTTGTGAAATGTGTGGGTTTGTGTGAACGGGATAACAATGAAAACGAAATGCTTAATTACGGGGTTATTATTAATAAATTCAATTAGATTTTAATTAGTTTTTTTTAACTATAGCTAATTTTGAAAAAAATGTGATATGATTAGTTGTTAGTGGATATATTAAAATAATATTTAAAATAAAATAATTAAAATTAATATGATGTAAAAGTAGGAAAAAAATAATTGAAAGTGATGGTCAGCTAAAATTATGTGAGTTGATAAATATTAATTAAAGTTGATGTGATGTGTAAGAATGATTGATTGATATTATTTAATTATATTAATAATATTGAAAATAGTGGAGTTGGGTTAAAATGGAGTTAAATTTGAGTTTTGATTGTTTTTTTTAGTTGAGATAATAAACAATCACCCCTTAAAATCTCACGAACCTAACTTCCTAAGAACTTCATAAAGCTAACAGAGTACAATTAATCTTTGGATTTGAAATCATTACTTATATATTCCGTATTGACAATATATTATAATAGCATTCTTCAATCTGAATTCTGAAAAAAAATAAAAAATACACAATCAATTAGGCCTTTTGGAAATGCTATGTAAATAAGCATATGAAATAAAATTGAATTATTATAAGAAATTACCATATTAAATTAAGTTCATTTAAATGCAGCAAACTTATAAACTATTTAAATACAATATAATTAATCTTATGAGGTATTTAAATTATGTAATTAATCAATCACAAAAAAACTTTATAATTGGTAAATGTATATTTGGCCCACTTGGAACTGGATCTTGTCTGGTTGCTACTGCCAGATTGGGATATGCATATGCAATAACGCATATTCTGTTCCTCACCAGAAAATATCTGCCTCTTTAAATTTGTTTAACTTTTTCTATTTTCTTTATTACAAAATCTTGAGATCCGTTTGGTGAAAAAAAAAAATACATAATACTTGCCCATTAGATTATATGATGATGAACGTGTAAAAGAAGTAATATAACTTTGTATTTGGTACTCTTTTGAGTTTTCAATTATTTAGCAATGAATTAAGTATGTATGTAAAATTGTAAATTGACCAAACTTTTCTCATCTTATTTAAGATTTAGCGAAGTATCATTAGTTTTTAATGAGCTCACTAGTGGCCCAATACTAACTCCAGGCCCAACAAGTCCGAAAATCTTATCTGCGCAGGTGGGCTATAAAGTGGGCTCAAGGTACGGAAACAAGCAAAAACTCAAAAAGTATATACGCTTTTCATTTTTTATTTTTTATTTTTTATTGATAAAAATAAAAAAAATAGTTGTACATGATTGACAATTAAAGTTACGGTAAATAACAAAATTTATATAAATATAATTATCAGCTAGTATTAATTAAACATTGTTATTTTAAATCTGATCCAATCCAAACTACATTATTTCATAGGCCACTCAAAATATAAATTTGCGTGAATAAAAATTTATAGAAAAAGAAGGCAAATCAAACCACATTATTTCATAATTTCAACACATGAAAACAAGGAGATAAATAGCAATAATCTATTTTAGTTCATTCCAAACATTTGAGAATTAATTGCCACTATTTGATGATTAAATTGGACATTCAAGCGCCGACAAGTGCTATTGAGATGTCAATGCATAGATAGAAATATTACGGGGTGAAACTGTAATTTGTCTGTTGTTGATAAGTGAAGAGTCTATCGAATTCTCCCTTTATGCTCCCTGAAAAGTGAAAACAAAAGCCCAAAGCAAATCATCCTTTAATTGGGCGTTAAATGGAGCTGTAGAAAGCACAATTTGCCGATCATCGGCCGGGGACAACCTGGTTAGTCGCACACATATCTTCAACCTCCGTAAAATCTTGTTTTCATTGCTATTTTTCTCGTTTTTTGTTCCGTTTTCGTTAATGGGCTTTGCTTCAATTCTCCAAGATTTGATTTTTATTTCTGTGAACTTGATAACGAAGAACTTGTAGCTGAATTATACGGTGCTTAGTTTTTTCTTGTCCTTTTTTACTTGTTTTGGTTTTCCCTTGTGTGGGAATTAGTGGTTCGAATAGAAATTCTGCAGCTTTTCGAGCTTGAGTTTAGTTATTTTATTTCCCTGTTCTTTCTTTACCTCCTGTTTTGATTACAGATTTTTCATACATGTTGAATGAGCTTCCAATTTTCCTGACTATTTATATATTTGTATGTGGAAATAATAGTGATTAGATTGTTCTGGATATTGGGTTTTGGGTTTTAGCTCTTTTTGGAACATTGATGAGGGTGGGATATGCTGGTTCTCCCTTGATAATGCTAGCCAAGTAATCATGAAATATCTTCCGAATTTTGCTGTATTATATATGATCTAGTGTAATCCTTAATCGAATTCCACCTTTTAGATGGACCATTTTTCTCGCACCTTTACCCTGCTGCAAACAACTACCGGTTTCTAGTACATTTTGTTATATGTATTGTTATATGTAATTACATGTGAGTTTGAACATGCCTCTCCTCACATTGAGAACATACATGCAAATGCAACTGTAAGTTCTTCTAATTGCTGAATGCTACTCTATAAATCACTNTTTTTTGTCGAAAAATCCCACCTACTCATGGCACACGCCTTCTCGATTTCTTGTACGCCAAACATTTCCTCCGGCAGCAGAACATACTTCAAAAACCCACCACACAAATTCCCACTCTTCTCATCCACCGCCCTACGAATCCCCAAATCGCCCTTCAAAAACCTCTCCTCTCAAACCGCCCACAAACCACAAAAACATGTAAAAGCCACAGCCCAAGAAGCCCGTCCCCAGCCCGGGCCCGGACCAAAACGCGTCATGGTCATTGGCGGTGATGGCTACTGCGGTTGGGCCACGTCCCTCCACCTGTCCAGCAAAAATTACGAAATCGCCATCGTCGACAATCTCGTCCGCCGCCTTTTCGACCACCAGCTCGGGCTCGACTCACTAACACCAATTTCTTCCATCCATAACCGAATCCGGCGGTGGAAGTCCCTCACCGGAAAAGAACTCCAACTCTACGTCGGCGACATATGCGATTTCGATTTCCTATCAGGGGCATTTCAGTCATTTCAGCCAGACGCCATCGTCCACTTCGGCGAACAGCGTTCTGCCCCTTACTCGATGATCGACCGTTCGAGGGCAATTTTCACGCAACAAAACAACGTCATAGGAACATTAAACGTGCTCTTTGCGATTAAGGAATTCGGGGAGGATTGCCACTTGGTGAAGCTGGGGACTATGGGTGAGTACGGGACTCCGAATATAGATATCGAGGAGGGTTATATTACGATAGTTCATAACGGGAGGAAAGATACTTTGCCTTACCCAAAGCAAGCGGGCTCGTTTTATCACTTGAGTAAGGTGCATGATTCGCATAATATTGCTTTCACGTGCCGTGCGTGGGGTTTAAGGGCCACGGATTTGAACCAAGGGGTGGTGTATGGGGTGAGGACAAACGAGACGGCATTGCATGACGAGCTTTGCAATAGGTTGGATTATGATGGGGTGTTTGGGACTGCTTTGAACCGGTTTTGCGTGCAGGCTGCAGTTGGGCACCCGCTTACGGTTTATGGGAAAGGAGGGCAGGTAAATTTTTTTTAGTGTTTGTTATCCTCTGGTTTGTGGTTTGGTTTTGTTTGGTTTTTTTCTGTTTTGTGGATTAAGTCATTAATTATGTTGGGGAAAAGGGTTTTTCATGTTTTACTTGACCGAATATTACCATTCACATGTTATGATCACATTTGTTGTATACTAGAGAATCGAAAAATACAGAGATAGAGGGAGAGTTTAGGGAAAAGGAAGAAGAACCATTTTGCATTAACACTAAAGTCTTTTTATAGTTAACACTAAAATAATTAGAAGTGCTAAAGGTGAAATACACTTTCTGTAGGCTTAATACAAAGTTGCTAAATATAAAAATGCAATGTATATTCTATTACATGTAGATGATGACATGGTGTGATTACGGCAATATTAGCGTGCTATGGGGAAAATCAGACTCAAATAGTTGCAAATCTTTGATAAGAGATATTGTTTTCTTATTTCTAATTACATGACATCGATGTTCAATTTTTTATTTCTTTTTCTTGCTTTTTCATGACCCCTGATCTTGAGATGCTGGCATTGCGGCATAACTATACAGGTTAATTAGAATAAATACCGAAAAACTGTATTCTTGATTTCTGAGAATAAATTACTACCTTTTTTTCGTAATTGAACCACGCTTGGAGGTTAGTTAGTTGCTAGTTCCATGATCGCCTTTCCTTATCTAACTTGCCCGATCATTTTTTTCCCTTTAAATAGACAAGGGGCTATCTCGACATAAGAGACACTGTCCAGTGTGTGGAGCTGGCCATTGCAAATCCAGCTCAGAGGGGAGAATTTCGGGTTTTCAACCAGTTCACGGAGCAATTCTCTGTCAACGAGCTGGCAGCCCTCGTCACTAAAGCGGGTAAGAAGCTCGGGCTTGACGTGAAGACAATATCGGTGCCCAACCCTAGGGTTGAGGCTGAGGAGCATTACTATAACGCCAAACACACTAAACTCGTGGAATTGGGCCTACAGCCCCACCTTTTATCGGACTCACTTCTCGACTCTTTGCTTAATTTTGCGATTCAGTATAAGGATCGAGTCGACACTAAGCAGATAATGCCGAGTGTTTCGTGGAGAGATATTGGCGTGAAGCCCAAGACTGTTGCGGCTTGAAATGAGTCGAGTTTTTTTGTGTTTGTGTTCTTGGTGATAGCTGTTAAGTGTGTTGTTGTGGAAGTTTTTCTTCAGGAGGGTCTGTTCTTAACTTTTGGTAGTATTATGCATGTCACTTGGAAGAGAAAAGCACTCGCTGTTGGGTAGTTTTGTGAGGAGCTTAGACTAGCCTGGCTGTATAATGTAAAACTATTAT